TAATTTTTTTTATGATTACTTTTGTTTTCGAAAAATAAAAAATCGTTTTTACTAGTTAGTAGCTAATAACCTATGAGATTATTTCTGTTTCGATTAAAATAAAATAACCTCGATAAAATAGTTTAAAACATCACCCACTCGTTAATGCAATTAATAAAAAATATAGATTCGTTTAAAAAAAAAGAAGGATATTTGATCACAAGTTTAATAAAAATAAGATGAAGAGATAAACATAAATATCATGGCTATGAGTAGAAGAAATACTATTAATAAATTAGTTACGGACCTAATTTTGGCTGCCAAATCATGGAGTAGAATGGTGCTCATAGGCAACATAAAATATGGTACACGTGGCGCAGGCTCGATGGGAATGTTAATGTTTTATTTTTTTGATAGGAAAATGTTTATGTTGACTGGTACGATGAACAAAAGTAGCGATCACGGTTAGGATTTGTAAAGGTTGTACCTGCTGTTGGACCGCTTAATGGCAACTTCGATGTGACTTTCTCTTTAGATATGTTTTGATACCATAAGCCTCTTTATTGTTTTTTTTTTTTAGTGTTGCAACATCATGTTCATTATTCAGCAATTTGATACGGCTTAATTATTTCGATATACATATAACGCAATCAAATTCAACACAAATGCTTACATTCGGTTTAAGTTGGATATTGCACATAAAAAATGAGATTAGACGTTAAAAATATATATAAACGCATAATTTAATCTGTCCAATATGTAAGTTGAAAATTCACGAAACTTAATATTATATCATGGTCCAAATATTTTACTCCAACCCGAACCAAAATTTATATGATTTAAAAGTAATCTTAGTTATCGTGTGATTTTGTTGTGGAATCATCTCGATAAAACAATTGAAATATATTTTCACAACAAAAATGAAATCAGACTTTAAATTATGTATAAAAATATCACCAACTCAATTATTGTCGATTAATTTGTATTAAAACTTCTACAACTTTATAGATAAATTACTCTTTTATTTAAATTTCTGTAAATTTTGGCAAAAATTGCTTAATATCAGTGTGCGGCTATTGGCTAATGTAACTATGTAAGTACAATTAAAAGGTTTATAGGGAATCATATACTTAATAAGGGAATTTAAATTGAATGAAAAAGCATATAAAAATGTATTAGTTTAATGGTTAACTAGAAAGCTATCAGCCGATCGGGGGCTTATTGGTTAAGCCCAAACTATTAAATAACCACTCGTTTAATAAGTTTTTTGTTTGTTTAAATAAACTTCTATCGACCGTTCTTTCTAAAAATTTCCTTTTGTTTTAAAATATTGTTTTTGTTAAAACTCATTCGTAGGAGCACGATTCTAAAATATAAACCTAGGTTCGGCATAAAAAGTTTGATACTAATATAATAGACGCCAAGAGTGC